TTACATAAAGATGGCGCTTTTCAAAACCTCACTTCTGGTTGTATTACTTCTCCAAAACTCAAAACCACCACAAAATGTCATACTATTCCCCCTTATCAACAGGTGCGTGATGAAAACTTTATGTGACCTCCTCCCAACCGCTTAATATCTCAACCAAACAATTTGTTTATTTATTACATTTTCCACTCATTTTCGTAATGTATTTACCAGAGCAGTGCCAACACCACCACCATCATCATCATCAACATCAACATTATGATGAAAATAATGCTGATTTAAATATGAAACCATGTTCTGAAAAATAAAACACAGCACAAAATTGGGTTGCCGAACAGATTATGAAAAGAAAAACTCAAACAATAGCAGCCGCTTCAGACAACATCACCTGTATTTAAATAATAAACAATCGCACATAAAACGGGTAAACAAAAAACAATGATGATGATGGTGATAGGTTGTTGTTGATGGTTGGTATGTCTTTCTCTCCCTATCTTTTGACACTTTACTCCTCGCTGTGACAAAAGAAATTTTATACCTTTTCTACTTTGAGGGGGGAAAATAACAAAGAATCAGAAATAGTTAGTAACTAACCTTTTTGGCTTTTGTAATGAGACCTAAAGCTAAGAAACAGACTAGCAAACGGCAAATGAAACAAAACAAAAGCTCAGCTGATCTCAACTAAGTCATTGGAGCAGAAAGAGACCATTGACGTGTCGTTGGGGTCTTGGATGGGGTAAAGAAGAAGGATTATGTTAATGGAAGGTCTGGGAACAGAATAAAAGCTCTAGGAAAAATTCGTAAAATTGTCACATTTGGGCGCCATCTGTGGTTGAACTAAAAATTTTCAATGCAAGGGAACTCCTGCCATGGAAATCAAATTGATTCAGCTTTTATCACTTTTTGACGTTTCGTTGGGGTCTTGGAAGGGTAGTTGGAAGGTATGGGAACGGAATAAAAGCTCTAGGAAAAATTCGTAAAATTGTCACATTTGGGCGCCATTTGTGGCTGAATTACAAGTTTCCTGCCATGGAAATCAAATTGCATCGCCTTTTATCAAACTTTTATCCATTTTTAGACCGCAATATTCATCTAAAGGATAATTTTAAGGAAGAGATAATTCAAGCCCAAAATTTCTCAGAAATTTTGAAAGTTCAGATGGATATAATATGAAAATTTTAGGATTTAATGTCAATTCCTAAATCTACCATACGGAAAGCTGGGAACCGCTAGGAAACCCACATTTGAAATATATAATAAAATTAATAAATTGACCCGGACTTTACTGGCGGTCGAAATGCATAAAGACATCATTTTACATCATGTTTTCCATTTCCGCTTCGGGTCTCTGAGGATATTGCTCTTTTTCTCACTCCTCCAAATCCAACTTCGACTATATTTCACTATTCGCTCCACTAGGCAAACAAAAATAGGAAAATATGGCTCCCGATTTAAAATCTCTGATCTTCTACTGATCTAACTTGCCGAAAGTATCTTATTTTCCGCCACCTTCTGGATGTCGTAATAAGTATTCACCTCTAACACCATAAAGTCTTGAACACACGGCACTGATTCAAAATATCTTATGTTCTACTGACCTAACTTTCCGAAAGTATCCTATATTCCGCCACCTTCTGGATGTCGTAACAAGTATCCACCTCTAACACCATCAGGTCTTGGAATAGAGTAATTTTCCATAAATGCAGTAATTCGCACTTCTTTAAAATATGTCAGTATCCTTTTCTCGATAAAAAACTTATATTTTGTTTCAGCATAAAAGATGGCGCCCAACGTGCGGCACTACTAAAATATTGAAATACTATGTATCAATTGACTAGGATAGTTCAGTTGACGTTATATTATGCCCTGTGGAGGGTTAAAACAATATACCCCAAGCAGGATGATCTGGTGGCTGTAAATTCAACTGCGAATAGATGGCGCCCAATGTCTGAGATTCGTCATAACAATCCCCATCCAGCATAAAAACAATGATATCCAAGTGTATTAGCTGTCCTTAAAAGCAGTTACGCATCCAATCTTAGAAAACATAACAGAATTCTCCTCTTAGATGACACTTAACGTTGAATGGAGAAAAGTACGAAATCAGATCACCGAGGTGAGTAGTTCTTCTCATTAACTGTTACTTTGCCTTGCCGTAAAATGTATCAGTATATCTTCTCTCTCTATCTATCAGTATCTATTTTTAATCTTCTCACTCATAGTGTGCCACGATTCCGGTTATAAATGGAAATTTGCCAAAGTGGCGCCCAACGTGGGGCACAATGCTGAAATGAAATTCCTATACTATCACTAATAAGCTAGGCATACAGATATGATTAAACTTCCTGTACGCGACTGTGATTGGAAGTTTTCACAAATGGCGCCCAACGTATAAAATAGCAGCAGCTCTTCTATCATAAGTGTCGCCTGTAATAGATCCCGAGGAGGATGAACGCTATTGATTATCCGATAATAGTAGCTTCCCATAAATGACAGTTACTCGTCCAGTCTTGAATTGAGTCATTTTTTTCATTTCTCTGAACATTACAAATTATGGCGCCCAACGTGTACTCAACAGTGAGATTGAAAGTATTGGGCTCCACATGTCTTCAATGACATTATTGTCGTAAAATGTGTCAGAATTTATTTTTTCACTTCGGAATCATGTAATGTGAGGGCTATGGAAATAAATGAAAGTATTACCAAATATGGCGCCCAACGTGGTGCACAATCCAATGATTAATATATTGCCTACCAAATAAACTAGGGAGCACAATACACCATTATTTAGTAAAAAAGTTTTAAAAGATGGCGCCCAACGAGCGGCACGACCCTGATATTGAATCCCTAATCCCCTATCGAAAAAGATAGTCGGAATTCCTGGAGGAAGTCATAACTCTAAAAAACACTATGGGCCATTAGTATTCTGTAAATAAGTCTCAAAAAGAGGCTCCCAACCGGAGCACGACCCTCACATTAAAAGTCTAATCACCCATCGCCAAAGATAGTCGGAATTCCTAGAGGAAATCTCAACAACTATGATAAACTCTATGGAACACTAGCTGCTCGAGATGATTAGTTGTCCTTTTTGGCGCCTGTCTTAACTAAAGCTGTCCCAAATAATGATGCTCGTCGTTTACTCTAACATTTTCATAGAGGAGGAAAAAATATACCCAAAAATGAAATGAGGATTACCACCCTCTCACTTCATCCGGTTTTTTTTTTTTTTTTTTGGAAAAGTCTTAATTTATCCTCCACCCTAACGTCTCATGTTCAGTATGTATAAATTTATGTACATAGTTGTCCATCGGAATATTGGACCATAGAATAAGAGCAAATATTTTAAAGTTAGTCACTGGAACGAAGCTAAAACCTAACAATAACTCGGACTGTGGCAGCAGCAACAGCTGCTCACACTACTCTTGCCGATGGTGGAGTGTGGATCTTCAGTGAAGCAAACTAGTGGTGGAAATGATGGACAATGGACAAAATAGCAAAAAAACAACAAAAACAGCAAAACAAAACCGCCAACAACCATGAGGGAGGTAAAGGCATGTTAATGAAGATCATCATCAACATGGGTTACCATGAAATAGTATTTGGCTAGAGAGTGTTTGAGAGGGGTTTTATATGAAGGGGTACTAATAAAGAGGGTATCAAGCAGCATAACATTGGTAAATAAAATGAAGTCCTCTCTTGGAAAGAGGGGATAATAGGTGGAGAATGTATGGAAAAACTCCTCATTGCCATGAAAATTCTTTTTGACAGAGATGGTTTGCTAGAGACTATATATTTTTAAGGTAGCAAGGAAAATATTTTCTGGACAGAAATGAAGTTCTCTCTAACGGGAAAGGAGTGGGAGGGTGGAAAAATTTTGACAATGATCACCATAAGAATTTTTGTTATGCTACTCGTCAGTTTCGTGCTGGGCTAATAAAATAGTGCTGTAAACGAAATGTGAGAATCTGGGCATTGACCACCACGAGGCTTATCATTATTTAGCCCCTCGAAGCTCATTGTTCTGTGCATAATGAGGTAATCCAAAATATTTCCTAAACACATTGACCACCATAACATGGCCGTGTTTAATTTTTGGCCTAAAATAAATGCGCAGAACTCCTCTGATCATATTTCAACGAGGAGAAAAAGAGAGGGTGGAACTTCCTTAGCACACCGGAAATTAATTGTAATTGTATAGCCTACGGCACAAAAAGGGGACCATAATTTAAAAATCCGGCTCAAATGTAAACAACAAATGCAGGTACAGGTGTTTGCTGTCAAATTTTAAACGTCGTTGAGGGATGTCTACTGTTACTGGCCGTGATGTTCTCTGTCGTCTGTAATTTGAGACCATAATGTTACTCTTGTTTTGTTTTAAATTGAGGGGGAGATGTTTAGAACAATGGGTCATTCATTGTTGTTGGTATTGGTAACTTTACTCACTTTTACTCCCCCGTCACACACTTCCCTTACTCTTTCTCTCTCTCTCTGCCTCTAAAACAATTTCAAGGTTTCCTTGATAACACCAACAAAAAGAATAATGCCATAACCGCCATATGTCAAAAACTTATCATTAAAAGCACAAACACAACAACAGGTGTCAATGGCAGTGCAATAACGGTAACCATTACAGAAACAACAACGACAATGGCAACAGGCAAAAGAGTGTGAGCACACTGAGAGAGGCAAAAATGCCGCAATTAGAACAATTAGAGTTGGAAAAACAAAGAAGATGACATCTTTGGGCTTCTACTGTTACATGCAGTGAATGTGGCATTAACAACAAGAACAACACCAACGTCATGATCATGATTAACTTCATTTTCTTGCAGATCATTTCCGCTGCTTTCTCATTAAATGAGCAAGGCAGGCGAGCAACAACAAAGACCCAGCCATCATTTCTAATCAGAGGGAAGAAATTCCCAACCGAGAATTGCCTACAAGAAAGGTAATAGAAGAAGAAGAAGAAGAAGAAAAGGAACAAAACGCAAAGAAAAACTTACCTCGTTAACTGTAGTTTGTCGCATCGTTGTTGTTGTTGCTGCTGTGTTGTTGGAGCCTTAAAACAGCAAATGTAATGCAGTTTTTTTCTGGTGTTGTTGCTGTTTTACTTTGAAACTGGAATGTAGCCTTGAAAGGTTTTACTTCGGGACCAGACCGGGTTTTGCTCGCTGCAATAATCCACTTGGAATAATAACTGGAAACACAATTTCAAGTATACTCTTCACGGAAAACAGGATTTTTCAGGATTTTTTTTTGTTTTTTGAATTTTTTTATTATTCTTTCTTATGTTTAGGTTGTTGTAACTGCTGAGTTACAAAATTCTAGTTTTGTTTTTTTTTTTTTTTCTTTAATTAAACAAAAATTCACATAAAATATTTTTTCAAATCACATAAATTTTTTAATGACCAACCATTTGTTATAAACAATCAAATATCTCTTTACAAAATCGCAACAACTGTCAAAACAATAATTATGTAGTATTTTTTTAATTTTTTTTATTTTCGTTCGTGTCTTTTTTTGTTAGAAGCGCGTTTACGTTTGCTCACGTCGACTGTTATTGTTTAAATGTTTTTAACTGTCCATCTATCTGCCTGCTATGCCAGGCAAAACACCGAACAACACTCATGCTTGGCAATGCGAAAGACTCATTGCAAAAGAGAGCGAGAGAGTCACAACATAAAACAACAATGTAATAATGGAGTAATAGATAGGGAGGGAGAGAGAGAGTTAAACCAAACACGAAGATTAATGAAAAGAGAACACTCATATGGGAACATATGTAACAAACGGGGATGGATGCCCATGTAACAGAAGGTAGATACATTTGATACAAAAAATGCTAAAAAATTAAAAAAAAAATTAACGAAAAAAAAATTAAAAATTAAAAAAAATTAAAGAAGTGAAAAATTAAACGAAGCCATAAAAATTACGAAAATCAGATATTAAATCAAAGCTGGGTCTATCTTTAATATTTGAGGTGATGAGGTGTTAATCTGCCCACAAAGATGTCCAAATATCCAATTACAGCAGATTCGATTGCAAATTGGACCGAAGCCAAATTACCGAATTACAGGTGAAAATGTGGCTAATTGCGGTCGATTCCTTTAAGATTCCTAAAATCGAGATACCATTATATAATTGCTATAAATGCATATTACCACAATGTCTTCCAATTATTGCTTTGTTACAGAACCTACACAATCTAGTAGTTGTCAAATTTTGTTCGATATCATAAAGGGAAAATCGGTTATCGTAGTAAAAACTTTTACATTCTTGTAGTTCTAGAACCATCCATATTTTTGCCTTTTCAAATAACAAAATAAAAATACACCGAAGAATCATTGGAAAAATTGGCCGCCCTGGAAGGTAATTTTAAACTTCTATGTAACTTCACAGAACTATCAACATCCAATTCTTCCATTAATATCGTAAGTCATTAAATATTGTAAATTATTAAACAAACGAACCTCTTCAAATTTGCACAACAAATAGGTTACACATGGTACGAAAAAAGCCATTAGTGTTACCGTCTTTCCAAGTTATTTTTCCTCAATTATTCGCAAAATAGGGACAACAGATAAATTCCGCACGGAATTGTTATTTAAGGTATATGTTTTGTTTTGAAACTTTGGTGTGGGAGATACCAGAGGAAGTGAACCGATTGCTGTATTGTTATATTTAAAGAAAAAACGGAAACTAATTTTGGACTTTTTGAGAGATAGTATTGAACATTTTTAGCTCTCGAGGGAGAGGTATGCAAGAAGAGGGAACCGATATTTTCCAATTTGAGCCCGACCTAAGCCCGATTCAAATCTAACGTTCTGACAAATATAACATTCATAATGGACTCTGTCCGATTTACAGGGTGAGACAAAAAAATCTGCAACAAAGTCAAACGCCATAATTTTTACATTTTTTTAATTTTATTGAATGAAAGCAAAAAATGTCGGAAATAGCATAAAATTTTAGAATAAGTTTAGATTTGGTCGAATTGGTCACCTTCACACGCTGCCCGAATATTGCTCTGCGGTATTGAGGCCCATTCCCGGCGAAGCGCTTGCTTAAGGTTTTTGACAATTTGGTATTTTTAGTGCCAACCTTGCTTTCCAAAATACTCCAGACACAATAGTCCAACGGATTGGTATCCGGAGATTTTGTTGGCCATTGTGCGCAGGAAATGAAGCGAGGAACCTCATTTTGTAACCATTCTTGGGTGGCGCGTGCTGAGTCCTGTTGGAATGTGAAAGGTCTGCGGCCGAAATGTTTGCGTGCCCAAGGCTTTAATACACCCTCCCGAATATTTTCGCAATAATATTCGGCATTTTTTCCGAAGCCACGGTCGATTAATACGAGCGGAGAGCGACCATCGGCTGTTATGGCAGCCCACACCATGACTATGGCGGGCGCTTGAGTTCTGGTGGCCAACCGAAGGTGCACATTTTCAGCTGACCTCTTTGGCAAGTAAACACGATCATTTTGTTTGTTTACAAACTGCTGGACAACGAATGTTTTCTCATCGGAGAAAACGAAATTCGGCAGTTCACCACTTTCGGCAAAGCAACCCTTTAACTCTTTTGAGTTTTGAGCTTCTTTACTTTTCGAACCATTTCTGCGGATGTTGTTGCAATTTTTTCATTTCACCCTGTATGCTTATTTGACATGAGGTTAACCTTCTTAATTCTACCATTTTTGAAAATCTGACACTAACTGCAATGTAATTTCCCTTTTGCATTCTTTCAACCCCTATTGGCTCTAGTTGGCTAATTGAGGGTTAAAACCATGATATGTTCTTGGAGAGCAAGCAAACGTAATCGCTCAGCTCAGCCAACAGCGCTATAAACAAAACGTACTTTTGCCGCACAGCCGGCATCTGTCAGGATGGCCGAGTGGTCTAAGGCGCTGCGTTCAGGTCGCAGTCTACTCTGTAGGCGTGGGTTCGAATCCCACTTCTGACAAAGGTTTTTTTTTTAAATTCTGTCGTACATTTTTAGTCAAATTACTACATTTTCTGCAAGAAATATTAAAATTATTTAAGTATTTTTTTTTTAATTTATTCGACCCTTATGTTTCTAATATTGGATATTTTTTTCAAGCTTGAAAAACTTATTCAATATTTAATTTTTTTGAAATAAAATAAAACCACTCTCCTTGTTATTTTTCAAATATTTTTTAATAATATTCTATAAGCATAGTTTTTATTCAAAAAAAAAAAAAAGATGTGTATTATATTTATATCTATAATTATTATTTAAAAAAATATACAAAGTATTGCAACATTATTTTGCTTGCAACAAATAATCAATCACTTGTTGCTCTCCAGCAGTTCTTCATGTTTATCAATTCTTTTTTGTTGTTGTTTTCTTAAAAAGATGTCTCTGTGTATGTTTTGTGGTGGCATATCATTATCGCATTTCTTTTTTTGAAATAAGTAAATTAAAATTTTAATCAATATTTGTATTGAAATTATCAAAACAAAAGTAAAAAAGTTTAAAAACTCTGTTTTTTTTTTATTTTCCATTCATCCATTCTTCCTCTGCTTCAAGAGTAATTTAAGGTTATTGTTGCTGCTGCTGTTGTTACGTGATATCTTAGGCTACTTTATGCTAGTTATATCCTAAAAATTAAACAGATTATTGTAAAGTGGGTTCCATCCAGTTTCATTGCTCCTTTCGAACTGGCGATTCTTACAATTTCGCTTTCGAAATTGTAAAGCATTAGAGACAGGATCTTTTGGGGTGGGGGGTCAAGGGATGTCTGTTAGAGATAATATAACTTAATGTAGTCTAAAAACTATGTTATTCTTAAAAACCTTACACACGAGTTGGGTTCTTCTTTTTATCTTTTCTTTTTCGTTCAAAAATAATAGTTTTCTTTTTTGTTAAAAAAAATCCAACGAACTTTTCCTCTTTTTGTTTTTGTATTACAATTTCCATTTCAGTCAAATATTACACACAATTTCAAGAAAAAACAGTTTACATTACAAATCCAAGACCTCTCTTGTGTTGTGGTGCTTGCCTTCCTTTCCTTTTTTTTTTCTTGGAAGTTCTCGGGTTCCTTTAAAAGGTAAATAAAATATCAAAGATACACTTTCACTAAGTGTACAGCTGAAGGGGGGGTCCGTTCATTTTCATTCTCCCTCACCTAGTAGTCCTAATCCACCAACTGTTGTTTACATGTCACATGATAGGGTACCTTAACAATCGTGAACTTGGTATGGGGTAAATTTTCGGCCAATATAGTTTCAACTTTGTCCAGGGGTAAAATTTCAATTTGCGGTACATCGCCATTGCCATCCTCACCCGAGGTATCGGCATTGTGGGCCTTGAGTTCTTCTTCATCCTCGTCGTTGGGTGGTGCTCCCGGCACAGGTTTCAACACTGGTATACACTCATCAAAGTGATGTTTTTCCTTTTTGGTGGACTCCTCACATTGATCCACATAGAGGGCGGTGACACGCAACAGTTCCACTGTGACACACCAGGTGAATACTTTCAGTGTATCGGCCACCTGTTGGACGGCACTCAAGACTATTTGATTTGTGGTTGCCGATTGCGAAATATAGGTGGGAATGATGAGCAATTTTGTAATGTTGGTACACAGACTTAGCTTTTCATCGAATCCCGGTTTGATGTCGAAATTCACCAATTCCAATTGATGTAATTGCACCAGACGAGCCACAGAGTCCAGAATTTCCAAGGTGCAGACATTTGTTACCGAGCCATTTTCCAAACGCAATCTCTGTAAGTTGATGAGTTTGGGTAAAACGGCCTCGGCAAAGGTGCTATCGAAATCCCCACATTCACCCAGCTCCAGGGAACGTAAAGTTTTCAATTCACCCAAAACTTCAACACTCTTTTCACCCAAACCCTTGATGGAGGTGAGGGAGAGATGTGTTAGTTTGTCCAGCGTTGCCAAGGGTGCTAGATCACCAGCCAACACTCCCGATTCACAGGTTCTCAAACGCAATTCTTCCAATGAATTTAGGCGAGAAATATTTTCGAGATTTATGGTATCATCATTGATGGCCAGGGCATTTATAATACGTAAATTGCGATTGCTTTGGAAAAGACTTTCAACCACGCGTGAAGAACAACGGCAGAGATATATGCTTTCCAATGAGCATACGGTGCCAATGTTTTCACAGAAATCATTCCACAAATCTTCACTGCGGCCACTGGGCTGTAACATTTTACGTAAATCCAAATGCTTGGTTTCACCACGTCTCAGGGCGGCTGCAAAACCAGACCAGCTGCATACCTTGGAGTTTTTCATGCGTACCGTTTTCCACAGCGATGTATCCTTGGCGGCCAAGTTCCATAGTTTGCAAACAGCTGCAGCTCGAGGGCGTTCCTGGAAATCACAACAGAATAAATTAAAATTTTATTTCAAATTTCGTTTCGATTTATTTTCCCAGTACTTACATGGATTTTCAAATATTTCATTATACACAACAATGAATCGTAGGCATATGATACATTGGCAAAGAAGTTTGTAGCAAATATTTTGCTAGAATGATCCACGGGAGCAGCAGCAACCACTTGAGAATTATGTGAATTATAACCATCCGCAGAGTTGTTTGATTGTTTGCGATTCTTTAATATACTCTCATTTATCTGTTTCAAGTCATTTTCAATGTCATTGACTTGCCTGCAAGAAGTTCGGAGAGAAGGAAAACATAAATTATAATTAGTCTATGGGAATTATGTTTAGCATATTATTTCAGCTAGCCTAAAAACATGCCCCTAGAAAGAAAATTGGAAATGCTCGCTCTGCTCTCGCGCTTGTTAGGAAAACAACGTATTCAATACTTTACAAAACTCACTCGTTGGGCGGCAGTGACAAAGGCTTGGCTACCATAACATATTTCTTGCCCTTGACCACCGCTATTGTTTGGGGATATTTGTTTTCCTGTCTCATTTTATTAACTGCCGCTGGTTTTGGTGGCTTGTTTGGGCTCGGTGACCCAGTAGCGGTTCCAGTTGCTGCTACTGTTCCAGAAACATAGTGATTACTGGGTTTCGTTACAGATTTGGGGCTGCAAGCCTTCAAAAAAGAACAAAGACAAATACCATCATCATCATCAACAAACACAACATTTAAATTTCAATTTTAAGCACCTCACAAATATATTCCCGACCATTGGTGCTAGAGGTTGTCCTATAGTCACTGTTATGTCGATCTATGCCCACACACTCATGATGATAAAGACAAAAACACTTTGTACACTGCAATTGCGGCAATTGCCCGGGGGCTTTGACACAACCAATATTACAGGTTTCCTTGGCAGATTTGCCACTTGAACCACCATCACCACTTTTGCCTAGAGATGATGTTGAAGAGGATCTATATAAAGAAAAGATAACAATGTTTGTTGTTTTTTTGTTGTTGGCAGCAAATTGGTTATAGCAACTAGAGGACCACAAAAAATAAGCAATAACGAGAGCGAGCTAAACAAAATTGAATTTAGATGTGGGAGGGGGATTTTTGAGGATACAACAAATGCTACAAATACCGACAGATCAATGAGAGTCAAATCCAACTTACTTTTTCAATTTACTGCTCTTTGAAGAATGACTGGCGTTGTGACCAGTTGAGGAAGCATTATCGTGTCTCTTGCTAACGGGTGTAGATGTCATATTTTGCTGGGCATGATGCTGTGAACCCATTGAATGTCTTCCTGGATTACCGGAGCTACTTAATAACGCAGCATTGTTGACTTTTAACGCCTTGCTAGGAGTCCAGCCCTGTGGAGGTGGACTTGCCCCTTTGGGACCCTTAGGTTTAGACACTCTTTTGCCTACAATGGGTGGTGAAGGGGCAGCAGCCAGGGTGGCTGTGGCCACCGATGATCTTGACGATGGCTTAGCACTACGCACAATTTCAAACTCGGGACCAGCACCCAAAGGCTCTTTAGCAAAACTAAAATGATCTATTGTAAGATCACCCTCCAGCAGTGGGATGATTTCATTGCGGGCCCTCAATTTCTTGCCGGCAGGACTTATAAAATAGACATCAGCTTTATCTTTGCTGGTTTCTATATTTGCACGCCATACCAGCTCTCTTTTCCAGCCAAAGTCAAATGGCTTCTTATAGAACTCATCTTGGGGAGAGAGTGGCTTCTTGGTAACAGCCGTGGAATTTGGAGTTTGCACCACAGGTTTCATGTCGACATCTTGGCCACCATTTATCTCCTCTCCATCGGCCACAATGTGGGGTTTGGGTGGTGTTTTCTGGGCGACCTTATTTGAGGGAGACTGTAGAGCTGGCGATTTTGCTTTCTGGCTCATGGGCGATTTTGAGGATGAACGTGAGGCATTTTGCGAAGGAGATTGAGCAGTTTTTTGTGGTGGTGTCTGTAAAAGCAATAACGTTAAGGTATATAACTCATTTAAACTAACTAACTAACTTACCTTTTTTACAGATTTAGGTGGATCGGTTGTAACAACTTGAGCATCGGCCACCACACTTGGTGCTTCCTCCTTTTCCATTTTGTTATCTTGTACATCCTCTGGTTTTACCAACTCTGCCTCACCACTCAATTCATCAAAACCCAAAAGACAATCTTCGGATCCTGAACGTCTCACCTCGTAACGTTTTCTCTTCAAGGCCACCGTTTCGTACTCATCCAATCCATCATTTGCTGTGGCATCCTCCTCCAATGGGGTAGACAATAATTTACGCCTTATGGCAGCTCTGGTTGCGCCATCGTTTTCTTCTTCTTCCTCGCCACCTTCATCTTCGGAACCAGAAACTTCTAATTTAAACGGTGTAGCCGTCTCATTGTGAGCCGCATCCGTTCCTGGTGGTTCTTCTTTGTCATGTTTTAGTTTGGCACGTTTCTGTTTTATTATCGAACTAGTTGGTGTGTTTTGTTCCTGTTCGCCACTATCGACAGCACCAAGTACAGTCTTGTCGTCGTTAACTGTGGCATTTGTTGCTGGCGTTGGCGTTTCAGCCATAACTATTGCATCGTCCACCTCCATTCTGATATGTTGAAAACTTTGTTTTCGTTTGGGTGAAATTTTTGCAAAATTCTTTCCCTTGGCTGTGGAAAAAAAATTGTCAAGTGACTGTTGCTGCTGCTGTTTCTGTTCCAGCAACAATGGGACAGGCCCAAACAACGTATGCACGTCTCTTCGTTTACAGCACACCACCAACTACGTTCAGCACAAAAAGAATTAACAGCAAATAATTCTATTTCCAATTTCGACCACTTGCCTTTGTGCTGTTGGCAGAGCGTTTTGATTTTCACTTGGACTGGTTGACTATTCCAGCCGTTCGTTCCTTTATGCTTGCTTTCTATAGATTTTGGATAGATTGTGTGTAGTACGCGCGTTTTTGACGTTTCGGTATATACTCGACAACAAAAAGTGAGGTTATGTTGGTTTTGCAATGAAGAAGAAGAGCAATTGTTTTTGCTTTGTAGTTGTTGTTGTTCGTTCTCTGACGTTGTTGATTGTTTGTTTCTTCCTTTCGTAATTATCTGCGTTTGTGTTTTGCTTGCTTTCGTATACAAATTCCCCCGCTTGATAGTGTATTCGACTACAAAAAGTCTTTAAAATGGCAGATTTTCTTAATATTTTTAAAAATTAACAATATTAATGAATTTGACATTAATTTGATATTGAAATTAGTAATTTCTTGTTAATATTTTTCACAAATTCAAAGATTTTCCACAAAATTCACAAATTAATGAGTTTTCAATTGCTTGGCGTCTTCTTTTGGTTGTGGGCAGGCGTTCATAGGTCGACTTAAAGCCAAACAAACAATTGAGAAGATAAAGAGAAATCGAGTAATCGATAGTGACACGATATCAAATTTCTATTTTACCTATTAAGAGCGCTTGGCAACCAGAAGAAAGTATAATTTCAAATAATTTTACAATTGTTAGAGTTTCGCAATGATTTGTGAGCTTTTTTAGATGGGAGTTAACCAAAAAAAGCTTACATTATTATATCTTCCCTTCATATATGTGGCGCAAAAGTCGACCTATTTATCCCTGGCAACTGGCAGTTTATTGGCATTCTGGATAAATTAATAGCACCACCTCTATAAAAACTGGATTAAAATTTTAATAATTCCAACTTGTTTTGCTCTTCACCTCTTCTAAATCCTGTTATTGGAAATATTAATATTATGGAGGATTTAAAATGAATAAATATATTAATTTTTCTTTTTATGTACATGCACATTTTCTTGTGTTTGCTGTGGCTGTGCTACGTTACGTGACCACTAATGCCATTTATATGAAGAACAACTGTCATAGAAGAATTTTGCAGCTGGCAACACCATTGAATGCTGGCTACAAAAATGGCGGTTAGAAATAAAAAAAATATGAGAAAAAATGTAAAGTAAATAATTAAATTAATATGCAACAATTGTTCAATTGTTCTACTATTAGAAACGAGTGAGATTTAGAGTACAATAATAAATGAATGAGATTAAATATGAAAGAGAACACGGTGCTCAGAAAATGAGAGCTGAGGATGGCCGCTTCATTCCTTTTAGGGTTTAAGGTTGTATTCCAATGGATATTTGGAATTGGTGGCGTATAAATCTTGAAAGTCCAGTTTAGAGATAGAGATTTGTCATGGTTTTCGGATTAGCAGCATATTTTTAATGCTATTTCGGTAAGTATCCAAAAATTCGCATTCTCAAATTAACCCACATTTTCCTTACAGCTGCTGCCCCGCTTAAACTAGGTGGATCCCTTTTTCTAGACAATATGTATATGCCTTCAATTCTACAAGCCGAAGCCGAAGTCAAAAATTTAATTCAATTTCATTAAAATAGACATTTTTGGGGTTAGGGGCATTAAAAGCTACGGCGTGGCCAGGGCATTCTCTGGAATGATCAAGTAAGTGGTACACGCCCCAGATTCAGATATGTAACAAAATTGCATTAAAATGCAAACACTTTTTGGGGAAGGAGTGTTGCAATCACCGACATTTGCAGGCGGCGCTTCGAGAGGCTCTGCAATTGATTTTTGTTTTTAAATCGTTGAAATAAGGTAACACCAACGAGGAAAACATCTGTAAAGGATAATCTATCCATAGAAGGACAGAAAGACAGGCAGGTAGTCCAAGAAGGTCTTCTTAAAATAGAAAAACGAATGTCATCAATCTACGGAATACTTTAAGAGCTCCGAATGTCTGGTAAATATTTTATACTTTGAAGTCTTCCATGTCTAGTAGAAGTCTGAGGGTCTGTTAAAGTCATGAACAGGTTCCTAACGTTTATCTAGGCAACAATTCCAGTGTGGACAATCAATTAGACCCTCATCTTAAAATCCCATGCCAGGATTGGTCTCCATTGCGATGTCATAATGCGGCTTTTTTCAAAGCCTTTGAAAAAGTGCTGCCCTATAGTAAGTATAATATTTATCCGCTTGTATTATGACCCATTCTAATCTATAATTTACTTTTATAATTGCATATGCAAATATTTAAACTATCGATTGGTTTCCTATGAATTATCACAACAATAAGTGCAATCTATGCCATAATTTGTTGTAACTCTCACACATTTTTAGGTATGTGCGGTTGTGTGCCCGGCCCATTAACAGTTAGCACATTTGTGCTGTTTCAAGCCCAAGCAAGCAAGCAATCAACACAAACTTGTATAGATAGAACTGATTGTACATCTATTTTTAGAAATTACAACTACTATTTTTGCACTTGCAATATTGTGGCAGGCATGCAGGCAGGCAGAGCAGAGCAGAGGGTGATTGAATAAAAAAAGAGTGTAATTAAGCTAGCGGTGGTCGCTCAGTAAGCCTGGCTTGTAAGCCGCCACAGCAAATAGCAAAGGCAATGAGTGTTCAATGCTTGCTGCTGGCATACAATTGCGCGTTTTTTTATTTGAACAGGGATTTCACACGCCCCCGAACAACTTGTCTGCTGTTATTAATATTACAAATTTGTTTGGTTTTTTATGCCTGCTGCTGTTTTGGTTTTTGCTTAGAAGAAAATAAAAAAAAAATAAAAAAGCAAGAATAAAATGTGAATGAGTCAAAGGCTTCAAGAGCACAGCAAATTAATGAATTGAAATGTTCTCTAGTGGTGGCAGAAGAAAAAAACAGCAACAGCCAAAGAAAAAAGTATTAAATAAACACAAATTAATAAAAATAATAATAATAACAATATTTGTCATGCATGAGAATAGAGCAATGACAAGATGCTGCTGCTGTTAGGCGGCATTAATGAATTACTAACAAAAATAGTTTTCTAATCATAAATCGATTTGCATTAATTTAATCTTTAATTTTGCTGTTTAACATATTATAAAATGTGCACACTAAACCAATATAAATCCGTGTAGGGTATGTGATGGCCTTGTATACCAGCTTGCGGGGGTCCAGGCTCATAAAAATGTCATGAAAATTATAAATGATTTTTTTTCGATTTTAAAGAAAACAAACACAGCAGTCGTAAAAAAACAATCATTTGATGAATGTAAATTACAGAAAAGACAATGAAAAGGGGGGAGGGGAAGGTTATATAATTTCCCTGCCCCAGCATGTACGTGAAATCAATTGCGCCTTTAAGTTTTAGAAACGGAAATGCCTTTTGCCTTGTTTTATTTCGAAACAACAAAAGAAAAAAAAAACGATGATAGTTATGAAACCTAATCAATAGCTGATGTGTTATCTCTCTCTGAATTGCTGAATTTGATTTAACAGTCATTTACCGTGTCAGGCCGAATCACCATGCAGCGGCCGATCATGAATGATGCATACATCGGAGCGAATCAACACTTTTCATTATTTCCATAAAACTATTTGCCTAAGTACTTGAAATGTAAATACAACAACAAAGCTAGCCGGTCGTTTAGCCTGCAAGCCAATGTTTTGTTTTTTCTTTTAAATTTTAATTGACTGTCATAAACAAAGTTTTTTGTTGTTGTTTTTACAATTATAGCTTTTCTACTTTTTTATTGATTAAAGCCCGGTGATTAAGATCAAACATCATTAAATTGCTCATATAATTTGTATGATTATATAAATATTCATTAGATCCTCCGGCGTTTAGTGAGCCAGATAGCAATCAAGTGCATTGCAATGGCAGACACATGTCTGTGATAGGTGTGAACACATTGGAGGGTGAGTGTGTGTGTGTAGGGGGGGGTGGGTGTTAGAAAAAAGTAAAGCCAAACATTGGACTACAAACTTTAAGGAGGAACACCTAACTACTCCAAGGCAGTCTTGCTCACAATATATATATTAGTATTGGTAGGATACCGTCTCGCCCTGCCAAATCAATGGCAGGCGAGAAAGAATACGTGTTCTTGTTTATACTTTTTCCTTCGAGGCTGCTCATAGCTGCTCCAATGAAGTGAGTTTTTCTGAGACGCCTTTTAAAGATTGGACAGCTTTTGGGCATATTCTGCAAATAGAAGATCTTCTGAGGAATTCGTTGTTAGGGGACCTTTTGATATGCAATTTTTTTTGGGAAGGGTGAAGGCTTTCTTTAGATTGAAAGAATTTTTAGATATGGACTAAAGGTGAGAATACATAAAACGCTTTTTTTGACTGGCTTAAGTCATCGGCTGGCTTCTTCGGAAAATAACAAAGGAGCGTAGGTCCAAAATCGAACTAAGTCAACCTAAAACTACTTTGTACTTCTACGAAGTCCACCGTTCGCGGAAGCATGGCTGAATGCTACCGGACGCGTCCACAGGTTGCGGATGGTGGGACGCCCGATAGATATATCGGGCAGCTGCGAATTAAATAAACAGTCGCGGACAGCTCCGCGGTTTCTATGGGGGGAGAGTTTCGGACTAAATACCCGAATGCCTATGATCCCTGGACACGACGAGGCGAAGTCACTGGCGCCCCTAAACTATCCAGTCAGCGGACTGGTCCACCGCAACGGACGCCCTAACACTGGGGTGTTACATAAACCGTGCCCATCAGCTTTCCAAGGTTTGCAGTCAGGGTACCGACTGTACTCGAACGGTTGCCTGGTCGATAACTGGGCGCCTGGACGAGTAATAGGCTTAGGTGCCAAGTTCTTAACATGATATGGAGGCTATGTATATATGTATATCATGGCGGACCTCGTCACCTCCAACGTCCAAATTTCGTATGGAAAATAATTATAAAACTAACAGCAACAAAACAAACATCGACAACACCTCAAACGCCCCTTCGGAGGCACAGACATGGAACACGGCCAGGGACAAGATTTAATTGTGGGTGGGGACGAGTCCTTGCAGACGTAGTATACGAAAGCATACAAAGACAGAGTGAACAGCTATCCGCAATTCTCGAGAAGACCAAAACCCTAAGGCTTGGCCAGGAGAGTTTACCATCTGGTTTTGGGAATGATTCATCTCTACCTGATGAGGAGCTCGACGTCACCGTCATACCCTCATCGAGGAGAGAGATGAATCAGTCCAGAAAGCTGAAAAGGTTGCTCAAACCGGGCGCTCAGGTGAGGCCAAAACTCGATGAAAGATGCTACCAACCTCCGGGTCAAAGAAGGTGTCGTGGAAGGCGGCACTAGTGGCCCTTGAAAGAGGACAAAGCAAAGAGGGTTTACAAATGGTCGGTGAGGTACTGTAAAAGCTTCATTGGCCGCGATCCCCTACAGATTACGGAGAGGGAAAAGACCCTAATTAAGACGAACCTAAAGGCAGTGTGGAAATTCGAAAAGAATCATTCGCAACTGCCAAAATGTTCTCTTGAGAAGGAGCTTGCCTCTCTACTTACAGACCTCGTAAAGAAGGT